TCCTCGGAGCCCTAATTAGAACCGGCTTATATACCCTACTTTTATGCAAATTATAACTACGTAAGAACAAATCGTTTTTTAATTTATATTTTCGTTTTATTTCATTAGTTCTTAATTCTTTATTATGATACATATTTTAATTTGAAGGTATATCTTAACTTTTTATATTATAATTAATTTGTGTAGCTAAATCTGGAATTTTTGTTTAATAATAGGTAATTGTTATTCAATATGTCCGTCTGTTAACAGTGTCGACAATTTTGGCTTTTTGTATTACTTACTACCAGCGGGAGTTTTGATTGGCCGCTGCTTTTCCGCTTTCTGCTTTTCCGTCAAGGTGTGAACGCGTTCTTATTAAAATAATTTTATTTCCGAGTCTATTTCAACGGAATAACGAAAAAAGTAACGTACAATTTCGTTATTAGTTCCTGAAAATTGTGATTTAGTTATCGTTACTGTTACTCATTAGTAAAAGTAACTTCGTTACTCATTCGTTACTAAAAAAGTAACGAAATCAGTAACTTCGTTACTTTTTTATGTAATGTTAACAACCCTAGTTTTTTGTACCAGTCAAAAATTAGTCCGTCATTCTTTAAAATAATAGTAGTGTCTAAAAAAATTAATAGTATTACCCAACCTCCATCGTAAACTGCAGTCTTTGGTGAAATGAGTTGAATATTTTTTAAAGATGCTATCCATCATAGTAGTGAGTAAACATAGTACGATATCATCGACGTACCTGTAGTAGAAAAGCAAAAGGAATTCAATGGAACTCAGCACTCGATTTTCCAAATCTTGCATGACTGTCAGCAATAATAGGTGATAATGGCGAATTTATCGGGGAACCAAAGGTTGGTCTGTTTATATATTTTATTATCGAAAGCAAAGTAAATGGAATCCAAAATTAAGCCTTAAAAAATTCATCTTTTGCTATCTTGCAATTACTTTTACTGTAACTCCATCTACTAGAAATTGCATCCATAGCTAAATCCATCGGAACATTTGTAAATAAAGATACCACATCTAGCGACACCAAGCTAAAATCTGATCAAATTTTGATATGGTAAGATATTTTGATGGGATAAAAAAGTTTATAAAAAAATCCAATTGTAATTATAAGATCTCTACTAACAAGGTTGAAAAAGAACAAATCAGAGGTTCACAATTCCTTTCATCAATGGTCTCATCTAATAAGTTTTGCAAATTTATTAATGGTCCGTCTTATAAAGTGGATGCTCATTATAATGTCAATGAATTTAACAAATTTATTAGAGTATACAAAGATCCTTTGCAAAAATTTTCCAAAAGAATGTGGTTTACAAGATCGAATGCCGATTGCGATGCTTCTTATCTAGGCCAAACGGAAAGAAAACTAAAAACCAGATGAGCAGGACATCGTAACTATATACGTAGAGTTATATTCATCGTTCAGTTATCACAGAGTATAGGGTGAGTTGTAATCACGTCTTCGACTGAAATAATGTAAGAATTCTGGATATTGAGAGAAATTATAATAAACGAATAATGTCGGAGATGCTCTACATAAATCGTTAACCAAATAGTCTCAACGTTTGCACGAACACTGAGGCATTAAATCATGGTTACATAGAAATTCTCAACAAGTTATATCTTTATTTTTATAATTGACCGACACGCATCCGTTCTCACGTCATATCCCTTTTTATTTTTAATGATTTTTATGTGACCAACATCGGAATAAATATGACTCTTTTTTGGTTCTTAAATTATTTTAAATCTAATTTAAATTTAGTTTAATGGATTGACGATGTTTGGATCCGTGTGCGATCGTTGGAAATGGGGTGAGTTTTTGTCATCATTTATAAACAACATAAATTGAATCTCCATCTGTTCAAAAAATCTTGTTGCAATTAATCTGGAGATTCACTCTCTGCTCCACTCAGCTTTGCACTGGTTGGCACAACATCCGACTACGTTGAAAATGGTCGTTTACATTGCGACTGCATAATTGGAAGGAATTGCGATTTTGTGATACACAGTTGACATAATATTTAGTGCGATTAGCGGTAATTGTTATTACTGAGGCTGGCTCAAAACGTGAGCCGAAACGTACAAACGCATTGTAATTTGTTATTCACAATTAATTTTTGCGCAAGATAGCACCCAGCGCAGAATCCTAACACCTAGTTGAATTTCGCTGTTATAATCTATTGCCGAATTGTCTCTACTAATAATTCGCTGCATCTAAATCCCTATAAATCATCCTTGCATATTTCTCTTAACTAGAGTTCTAGATATCTTAGAGGCCACAAGTGCGGTCGATAATTGAAATTATCGATTATCGCCGCCATTTTCTTTCATCATGGATAGGCGAAATGTCAAAATGTGAAAGTAAGGTTAGGTTTCTCTTGAAAACTAAAATCGATCTGAATTTAAAAACGAAAAAAGGAAGCTGTTACGTCCAAGCCCTTAGAAATAAGTTTAAACGGGAGAGACAAAGATGGAGTTGGAGAGGATATGGAAGGACGCTTATACTTTATCTCACAGATATACGCGCAGCGGCGAATACCTGAGAGTCGAACGCACTTCCTATCGCTCTGGAATATGGGTCAGCGTCCTGAAGGGACGCTATAACACCTGTTTCCTTGAGCAGTGCGTAAGTCGGTCCAATTTCGAGTCAAGGAAATGAATCCCTATAACTCGGAAATGGATCAGGTGCGATCTTTGGGAAACGGCGAGAGTACGAGGTCTTTTGATTTTTAGAATATGAATGGAAAATAATTTTTATAAAGTTCTATTATATATATTTATTTTATTACTAACATAAATTACAATTTTTTGAATAAGAATATGGAGATAATGCTAAAATATAACTAATAAGGCACATAAATATTAAGTTTACATACATGTTAAAAAACTCGACAATTTGACATGATTAATTGTAGAGCGCTACGATTACTGGTTAATTATAATTAATATAAACATTTGTGTCGCTATTGAATTAAATCATGAATCTAAGTGTATATGTGAGTGTGTTATGTGTGTGCGATGGCGGAGAGGCAATACCATACATGTTATGTTATTAGTTAATTTCGTTGATTATGACTGAGGAAGGGGGAAAGGTGTCATTAAAGAAGTCGATTGGGACTAATTACGGGAAGGGGGAAGAAGGGATATACACTGCAATGTGTATATAGGGAGGATGTCCGGCTATAGCGGCGCGGATTTCCTTGAAATCTCACTGCGGATCGATTTTAATTAATTTGCGAAGTGACAAAAAGAAAAAGAAAAAGGGGGGAACTTACTGTTATCTGAGCAGTGAGTCTGAGTGGTCAGCCCTCGGTTCACTAGTTTCGGTTGGGCCTCTCTAAAAGTTGTCTTCCTTTGCGCACTGTACAAAGAGCGCACTGAGTTTAGTGTTTAAATGTACAAAGGGCGCACTGAGTTTAATGACCTTTTAACTGTATAGAATCCCTTTCTTGCTTTTTTTTCTATCTCTCTGCCCGGTGTCTCGCGATTTCGCGATTTATATAGGGATTGTTTAGGGGGAGATTCCATGATAGGGTGTGTTTAATTGGGAAATTGGGGAATCAGGTTCGCAGGATTCTGAGGTGATACAGTTTCGATTCGTCATTGGAAAATTGCCTTCCGGTTAGCTCCGCCCGCTGTGTCATTTTTTATTCGTTCTCACATTGAGCGATGGATAAATACCCCTGGATTAGTTAATCGAGAGTCGCGGTTCGTGTTGATTTTTCTCAGTGTCGGAAAATGTCATTACTAGATTTATATTTACTGTCTTAAGCCTAAGCGTGGGACTATTATCGTTGGGTCCGCGTGATATCGGTGTGAGATGGTTAAACATTTCATCTTCTTTCGAGCATCGATCCGCGCTATCGTTCTTATTATCGCGGGAATTATTTTGTGGCTTGGCTTAGCGCCTTGGTACCAACGCTATTTGGTGATTATTTGATGTTGACTTTCGTTTTCCACGATGCTCGAAAGGAGATTTAACGTTTGATTGTCAGCGCTATGAGAGAATTTTTATCGCGGGTCTCTCGATTCTAGGCAAACAAGATTTTGTGGCTGAGAACTTCTCTCGGATTTGTATTATTAATTGTATCTGTTCATATCTTACTTTGTTGATTGAATGATCGCGAAACGAAGAAATCGTGGAGTCCACCGGACGTAAGAAAGCAGTTTAGTACAAAGTAATGTGTAAAGTATAACTTGAACGCTCACTGTTGCTCACTGCCATAAAATGGAATAAGCAGGAAACGAGAGAAAATGTTTGTGGGAAAACTATGGAGCATGACACATCATCGTTTTCGTCTCCTTTTCTTATCTTTTGTTTTTTATTTTTATATTTATTACTATGTATATACACAGCACTTCATTCAGTAGCATAAATTTGAGGAATATTATAACATTATTATCGTCTATTATATTAAGCTACATTAATCTAACATTACAATGCTACGACTGCGTTCGGATTCCCACCTGGGCTCCCCGGATGTCATATTATCCTTGTTGTTTACCGAATGTTAAACAAGGATGACATGACACCCAAGGAGTACCCGGATGGGAATCCGAACGCAGTCTACCGTAGTATGAAAAAAAAATGAATCACGTGATTTAGCGAGCCAACCATTTTCAGACCATTTTCTCACCTGTCGCCTTTCTGATATCTAGAACTCTACTCTTAACTCCGTTCCCATTCCTCGCTCCTTCTCTAATGAAATTCTTGATGTCCATGTTGAATCTGCATATTCGAGTCACACGTAGACGTTAAGTATCGGGCTGCATACACCCGTCTACATATTTCCCCTTCCCTTCGCCACACCCTTTCCTGCTCTCAAAAACTCCTCACTTCTCAATTATGAATTATTTCATTATTTGATTACGTCGATGTCGTCTACGTTTCGGCTCTTAATCAACAACTCCTAAATTATGTACAGAGTATCCAAAATTCTTGCCTCAGCTTCTCTTATTGTGTCAGTAAATACGATATATCTCCATATTACCAGAGATCTGGCTGGCTTAGGATGTAGCAACATTTTATTCTCCATCTATGCTGTCTCGTTTTTCATCTCCTTCGCTCCAATACTCCGTTATATCTGCGACGCCTCCTTCAATTGAACTCTGACCTTTATTTCACTTTAACCCCCTTGTCATCAGGTACCAATATTATTTATCTTTCTCATTCATCGTTCCACTAAGTTCTGTGCTGCTTTCTCCTACATTTCAGTCAAATATTGTAATTCTCTTACTGTATCAATAAAAACCACTCCCTCTTTGTCCTGCTTTCGTTCTGCTGTCTCACGTTTCATCGCGTCACTCACAGTATTTAAGCGAGACTGATGTGACTGGTATATGTAGATGCTTGCGCGCGCGCGCGCGCGCGTGTGTGTGTGTGTGCGTATGTATATAATTTTAACTATTGTTTCACCATTCAGTGCATCGTTGTCTTAGTCGCGATTTTTTGTTGCTGGTAGGCTTTGTAACAAGAATTTTGCTGATGTCTAACCATTTACAAGCTGCTATAGTCTATATCGTATTATATTTTTTTTATGTTTATGACTCTATTAACATGTAATCTTTTCCATAGTGCTTTGCAATAAACTAAATTAAATAAAAAAAAATTTTTTTTTAACAGATTAATTTTAATGCTTACATTATTATAATATAACTCTTTATTAGTCACATTCCGTGTAAACATTGCAATAACAATTTTTACTCATATATAAATTTACAATAACTTTTTCTGTGTCGCATAATCGATCAATATGTTTTTTAAAGGAATTAAAAATGTGTTTACGTGAACTTGCTATAGTAGACCACACATTGGAAGCTCTCGGAACGTCAAAGGAATACCAAAGGCTACGTAATTGGATAATTCGAATAATAATCGGATGTATTACACGTTTTTTATTACTTAACATGTTATACGGTTTTTTTTTGTTCGCTTTTACAACATAACTATATCTTGGAATTTAATGTAAAATATATTTCTGAAGTATTACCCGTCAGACGTCATTAACTTAAGTGCTCTGATTTCTGCAGTTATCCTTGGGTTAGTATTATACATATGTGTACATTTAATTTGTAAGTTATTTTTATTGATATTGCGCGTCAAAATGTTTACAGAATGAAACACTTAAAGACCTTCTGGTAACATATAAAAAACAGACCTATCTCCGTCAATGACCATGACCTTGACAACATATATGTATGTTGTCTGTACAAAACATGTATATACCATACTTATTTTAAGTATTAAAAATATACTAAACGACAGTTATTTAAAATAAATAATTAATCTCTACTTTTTATTATTAAATATTTGTAAGAGATGAGCATCTTTAAAAAATGCTGCGAAGGAAGTAATGTTGAGTAAAGTAATCAAATAAATATATGGTCAGAATTTTCATCTCCAATGAACTTGATCTTGACATCGTCATAAAAAAGTAACGGCAAAACTAACGGTAAAATTGTAACATAAAAAATAACAGTAAAATCATCATAAAAAAGTAATTACAAAACTAACGGTAAAAGTAACTTCCATCCCTGGCTGTAAGGGAGTGCTGCGCTGTATGTCGACAAGTAGTTATATTACGATTGAATTGACGCTACGCAGTTTGAAAAAATATAATAATTAAAATTTTTTCATTTTTTTTCTTTTTATTTGACATTCAAAAAAACAGAAAAAATTAACGTAGACTATTAATTCTAGTTTAGGCGTAATGACATGTTCTCCGAGTATAAATGTAAAAGTAGAAGTCAGTCGGACTAATAGTTTTTCTGGAATCGTGATCACCATATCCGAAACACGATTTCGGGAAAAACGCCAATAAAGTTCTGAAACATTTTAGTACAAGTATCGCTCCGTTTTCCGTTAGGAGCGAAAGTAACACTCAGAAGGGAACGAAACTCTGCTCTATTGGATAGAAAAGTTCTAGAATTGTTTCGAAAGATTGAATATAAATAATGGCGAGCGCCGATTATAGCAATTGATTGGTGCGCGCTATTTGAATCGATCGAGCGGCTCCAAACACCACATCATTTTATCTCGTATATTTTGGACAATTTTCGTTTCTCCAAAAAAACGTTTTTGTGGAATATTCTTAAGACTAAGCTTTCAAAAAAAGTAAAAAAATCGATTTTTTTTACTCCTAAAACGTAAAAACCTTCTTAAAATGCATTTGTTTAATGTTTTTAATAATTGTTTAGCGATTTCGTTTAATATTTCTCAGCTTACTGATTGACAAATTGCTATTTTCTGTAAGGCACGTAGTGTTCAGGTGGCTTTCTTTTTCTTTATCTAAAAATTATAAGTTTTGGACAAAACACATTTTAAAATTCTGCTGCTCATATATGTATAAAATATTATATTGAAACACAAAAAGTAAATAATTAAATTCTAATTTAGTCCGACTTCTGATTATTTATTAACGGAATTAGCGTTAATATGCTCATACATAATGTATATGTTGTAATGTTAATAAAAGATATAACTAAGTTTTTTTAATTTAGATGCATAAGCTCCAGATTTCATCGAGTCAATGAACGTTTACGTGTATTATATTCTGATCTGTTCGAAAGTAGTGCAGATTACAGAAGACAAAACAGATCTATCTTTGTGCATCAGCGAATAACCGAAGCTAAAGATCACAATCAATATATTATATGGATTATAATGTAATAATTAGTTAATAGAATTACTGCATGTGTACACACATTCACGCGAATGTATATATGTATACAGGATGTCTCAATCTAACTTTCACATCGACATATTTCAAAAAGTGTTAAAAAAATGTTTTCTATGAAAGTGCAACTGCTTCGAGCGAGGCCTATTGTGATCACGTTATTCTTTTCTAAATAGAGATACGATGTAATATCCTAATAATTGTATGAATAGAATAATGAGATAGTAAATCAGGTGTAAAGAATAACATATACTTGTTTGTTGAACAGAATTATTCATTGTGCCTACATATTTTTTTTGGTAAAACTTTAGAAAATGGGCGACCTTTCGTCAATTTCAATAATCCTGACATATATTTTCAAATGAAATTGATGATATTAACGTGTATTTAACATTTCGTTTCGTTTGAAAGTGGAGTAAAGCAGACAAATTCTCTGCTTAAAATACAAATTCTCTCGTTTAAAACACATATATATTCTTTGCTTTATATTACAAATTCTCTACCTTAAAGACACAAATATTCTGCTTTCAAAACGAAATTAATATAAGAAAAAAGTAGCTAAGTTAGAATATGATAAAGCAGGGAAAAAGTGGGTCCTTTAAGAAGGAAGTGAATTTTAAAGTCATCTGTATTATCGAAACACATATAATTTTTGTATTACAATTACCTTTTTTTTGTTACTTATTCGAAAATCCTTTTCCAGGATTAAAGAATACGTGTCTGCTAAGTAGAGTCTTAATGCTGAGAACACGATAAAAAATTTCGAAATTGAGATTTTCTTTATCATTTCTTAGTCCATTATGGTGCTCCAGAGCTCACGTCGTAACAACATTTGCTTCATATAAAAGCTGTGCAATTTCTATTTATGAAATAGTAATTCACAGACTAGTAGTTTGCATGAAAAAGCAATTTAGATTTCTTAAAATTGGACTTAGACGTCCAATTAAAACGTTATTGTTATACAAAAATTTACGTGTACTTACATGTGCGTGAGATATTGATGTAGTAGTATGTAGTGACGTATCGATGACACGTAAATCGTCTATGTGTAAGTTGATTTACAATATGACTATTCGTCTTTACGATCCCCTTAAAATTATACGGTGGAAAAAAATTTAAATTTGAATAGGTGTTATAGTCGATGAAATGTAGAGGCAGAGAATTAAAGATGTTTTATACATATTTTCAAAATGGTAACAAAATTATGAAATAATTACAGATTATTACCATAAATTACGTTTAAAAATAATACAAAAAAAGTGACGGTTTACTATCTGGATCGTAAGTTATTTTAATAAATAGTAGTATTTTTTAAATCGATATTCTAATAGAAATATATGAAAATGCTATATATAGAATGAATGATAAAAATCTCAATTTCTTAATATAAGTACATTATGCATTCAGAATTATTTATATTGAGTTACATTGCATGAATTAGTTGTTCAGTAAATAAACAAAATATTTATTTGTTTTATATCTTTGTAACTATAATCAGTGAATTGCAATAAAACTTTGCATAAATTATTTCATGTTAATATTTGAAGTACTTATACAAGAAAAATGTAAATTTTTTTATCGTTAAAAAAATTTTAATGTTTAAAATAAAAATAATAACATAAAATGTAAATTTTTTTATCGTTAAAAAAATTTTAATGTTTAAAATAAAAATAATAATAATTAAAATAAACTACAAAAATATGTTATTAAACAAAAATATAATCTTATTCACATAACTTTCAGATGTGTATATTTTATTTGAAATGGAAATATTAAACATACTTCCAAATATAATTTTCTTTACAGGGACTGTGCGTCTAATACATCCTTAAATTGTACAGTAATATCTTTTAGATGCCTATTCTCCTAAAAAAAAACAATGTAACAAAATATGTTTAAAAAGTATTAAAAATATTATGTCATCCTCGAAATCGTTTCACTTTTATCTGAAATATACTTTTCAGTATCGTTTTAGATAATTTGATGCAACAGTTGAAATGAGACATCTTATATATGCATATACATATAAGAATAATTAATTCCAATTAGGTGAAGTAATCACACGTTGTGAACCGCAAATAATGAAAAACTATAGTTTATGTTGAATTTTACGTTAAAAATATAATTACCTTAGCACTTCTCGTGTATGTCTCTCGGTTTGATTAATTATAACAATTACAATTTATTTATAGGCACGTCCACCTACAATTATACCTTATATCACGCAAACTAAACAAAGTATTGAAAGTACAAATATTAATACAAATGGTATGGTACTTTAATGAAGCTTCAGCTTTCTGTCTAATAATGTTTAAATTGATTAGAGGGTATCAGTTTATACTGACATTTACTACTTATAT